CGATCATCGAGTTCCATGGAAATTTCGTTCCAAGCTCTGTTTTCTCTGTTATCTACAGGTTATTTTCAGCGAGATTCCGACAAGAAGATAGGAAACTGATTCTTTGGAACATGGAGAAACTGGAGATGGCTTTGTCTCTAACATTCCCTTTCAGGTTAAATGATTACATATTCTCACAAGTATACGATATGATTTGGTAGTGTGAATTACAAGTGTTTATTGTGGCTGATCAGGTTTTAAGCTGGAATCCTCGGGCTTTTTACTTGCCGAATTTCGCAACTAAACAACAGTGTGAAGCCATAATTGATATCGCAAAGCCTAAGCTTAAACCTTCTACGCTTGCTTTAAGAATAGGCGAAACCGAAGAGACTACTCAAAACGTTTGAACAAGGTAGAAATTTTTATGATCTTACAATAAGACCCATTTCGCCATAATGGAAATTTGAGGCAAGAGAGTATTAAGATCAATGAACTTTAGTAGAAACTGAACATTTGTAAATGTAGCACTGGAGTGTTCATCGGCGTTGATGAAGACAAATCCGGGATTTTAGCTGCCATCGAAGAGAAAATTGCTAAAGCCACGAGGATCCCTATATCTCATTACGAGGTGAGCTATGATACATTCATTCATATAGAAACAGACAACAACAATGCATCTACATTTCTTGCACTTATCATTCATATAACTCATGAGATTAAGACCTTCATGTGGTTATTTCTCCAGTCATTCAACATCTTGAGGTATCAGCTTGGCCAGAAGTATGATTCACATTATGATGCATTCAATCCAGCTGAGTATGGTCCCCAGAAAAGCCAAAGAGTATGCAATCTAGCCAATAAAGTTTCCATGCTCTAGATTTTGAAAAGTCTATTCGAATCTCCATATGTTGATCATTCTGTCAACATACGAATGCAGCTCGTGTCTTTCCTGTTGTACTTATCAAGTGTCGAAGAAGGTGGAGAAACGATGTTCCCCTTCGAGGTAAATCATTGTTTCTTTCTCTAGGTTTATTATGGTTCTTCGGGTCTTTGGGTTGTAAAGGAATTGGTTTTGAAGGTGCAGAATGGGAAGGACATGAATGGAAGCTATGGTTATCAGAAGTGCATTGGTCTGAAAGTAAAGCCACGGCAAGGAGATGCCATTTTCTTCTACAATTTGTTCCCAAACGGAACAATCGATCAGGCTAGTGTTTCGGACAATAAAAAACAATTTAGGACATATTGTGTTTGATCTTTCCCAGAAAATTTGTGTTGTTGCAGAGACCTCTCCATGGAAGTTGCCCTGTTATGAAAGGGGAGAAATGGGTTGCCACCAAATGGATAAGAGACCAACCATATGAAGATTATGCAGATTGATTTGTAAAATGTGAAAAAAAATCATTCATATTTACTTATGAAACAATAATTTAAGGCCTTAAAGGTCCAAAGAAGATGAGCTTAATAAATCATTAATAAACAAAAAACAATCAATTTCAAAATAATAGAATTCCCTCAGACTAACAAATCAAAACTCTTATGCTGCTTTCACTGCAACTTCGAGCTTCCATGTTTGTGTGTGCGCTCACTTCATGCTGCTACAAAACTGAAGCTGAGACCATTAGCACAACCTGAGTTTTGTTTTTCTGTTTTTAACCCGTGTCAAGAGGAAACATGTAGATTATTCTTTGATTTGCCTTGTCCTGCTTTCCCTTCATTTCAGAAGTCTCATAACCAGAGACCACGAGTTACTGAGAATCATAATTTATGCCAGTCATGGTGTGGTGACTTTCCCCATCGTCTCAACAAATATATACAACCAGATGCAGTGAATAAAGAAATGGCACCAAAAGCCATCATTGTTGAATTCTCCAACGTTTGGGAATACCCTCTCTGCAATATTAAGATCGATTAGGCAACCGACACAGAAGCAACATAGATCAACAAGATAAAGAGCAAGAATTGTGTTTTTATGGCACATACCTGTATTAAGCAAAACAAAATAGCAGCATTAGCTGGGACTTGAGAGAGGCTTATCATCCCTCCACGCAGTTCATTTGGCACATACCTATAAATAAAGATAAAAGATCATTACAACAGAGAAGAAAGATTCTTCTTCTAACCAAAAAATGTCTCTGCTACATTCTCAGAATAAAAATGAATGAACATTACATGGTTCTCAATCTTGCAAGCAACGGCAGCAGCAGCCCAGCACAGCCATGAAATAAGCAGAAAAGTACTACTAAGGTTCGGATTTCCTGCAGGATAAAGGATTTTAAACGCTCGAGGCAACAGGACATTTTTTTTACAGGTACACTTTTCTGAAACTATCAAATAAGTCACCTGATAATCATACGCTACAATAGAAAACACAAGCCCAAGTATTGCGTATATGTACACTACGCAATCTTCAAGCCGGAGCAATGATTGTCCACTCATTAGCCATGGGAAAACTGTGCTCCCAAGCATTCTTGAACCCAAGAAACATGGATATATCAATCCCAGATTCACTTCTCGCCCATCCGCCTGACCCAACATAATTCATTTTAAATTTAAGCAGATCATTGCATGGCTGGCGTCAAATGAAAGTAAGCATCATTGCTAATTTGATTACTGAAGCATAACATTTGGTTGAAGTAACAGCAAAATATACTAGGAAGCTTGAATCATACCACTATCAATGGTGCCCAAAGAATCCAAAAGACAGCAGTGGCAAACTGGAGGCAGGCTTGTGAAGTTCCCAGAAACCATATTCTTTTATCTGATCAAATTGACAACGTAAGATTAGCTTAATACTCTTTCACGAATTTTGAATGGAAATGTAAACGTTTTTGAGTTTCAAGCTCAATTCACAAGAAAACAATAATACGAAAGAAACCCTTACCACCAAGAACATATGCATAGAAAGCTATAGAATAATCCCTCACTGGAAGGGTCTTCAAAGGCTCTTTTGCAGTCTTTACGATACAAACAATGGCCACAACAGACAAGAACATAGACGTTGTAGCAGACAATGCAATGCCATGCTGAACACTTTCATCCACAAGCCAATTCGAAAGAACTTGACCTCCAATTAAGGACACAGACTCGAGAAAAGTCATCAACCAGAATGTCTCATTCAACGAGTCATTCCGCTGACTTTGCTACATATATACAAGACACAGAACATTATCACAAATCAGAACTTTGCGTTAAACACAAACGTAGTCACGAATACATACCTTTTCATGTTCCACAACAAGCCATGTCTCAAACCCAAATGAATATATAAGACCGGCAAGAGACAGGCAAACATTTGCAAACCATACACTTGGACTCATAGTAATCCTCTTCCACACACCAACAATGAAATGCAAGACGCAATAGAGGAGACAAAATCTCTTCTCACCTCTACACAAAAAAAGAAGAAGAAAAAAACAGATATTATTATCATTACCATATGATTCAAACATTGAAAAACCAGACGCTTCCTAAAGTAAAAGCTGACTTACATGAGATCAGAGAGCACACCAAGTAAAGGACCGAGAATAAGATTGGTGGAGTAGCCAACACAGAGATAAAACACCATCGATTCTTTACTTAAACCATAAGATTCCAACTCCAATTCTCCATACACCGACCATAAACCTTCCATTACTGCGGAAATTTTCAATTAGTCGAAGCAATAATCCACTTTGATTGACGAATTAAGTAAAAAATTGAAAGCTTTCAAAAACCCAGAAAGAGATGAACCTGTATGTACCTGAAGAGAGAGTGTAGATAGCTAGAAACCATCTCTGGAAGCGAGCGAAAGAAGAGGAAACGGTATGATCGAAGCTACCGAAAGTTTTGTTTTTGGCGAAGTGTGGAAACAGAAAAATCGACAGAAATGTGGAGAGGAAGAAGAAGACGAAGACAGTTGAGCTTGGTTCCCAAACAAAGCTCTCAATAACCAAACCCATCGATCCAAAAGCCACCGGTAAAACCCACCGGAGAAAAGGAAAAAAACCAAGAACGTCGGAGAAGAGATGCGAATTTTAGATCTTGACTGATCTTACTAAGTTTTTAACAATAGAAAACCTCTCACTTGTTCAGAGGGTTTGTGTTTATGTCGGCCCAATAGCTCAAAAGGCCTAAACGCCTCTAATTAAGTTAAGGAAATTAGTAGGGGTTCGATTATTCAATTACTAGTATTAAGCCCAGTCCGTATGGAGGGACATAGAATAAATTTAATTTTAAAGTAAAATGGTATGACAATGGAAAAATGTTAATATATATTGAACTATTTTACCTTTTTACCTCTTAGTTTGTATCAACTTCATTTTTGTCAATAATGTGCTATATTCGTACATTATTGTGTACTTCACTGCTTCTTTCTCAGACTCTTCAGAT